ACAGCATTCCCACATCGTGCTGGGTTATCATTATGTTTTCACACCGCCCTAGCTTGTAGTACCAGCTCTTGTGAGTTGCATCAAATTTTTGTCTTAAAGCCCCAGCTCCTGGAGTCCTATGATGGCCTGAGAATCTCAGCTTTCATTAAAAAATTAAGCTTCTGGGCTGCTTCTAGCTTCTGGGCTGCAGCTTGTAAAAGTGATCTGAGCATGCCCTAGAGGCTAAGAACACGACATTTTTTTTCTATATCTCCATGATTTAAGTGAATTTCATTATGGGTCTGGCTCATTGTTTTCCAGCACTGCATAGTGGTGTTAAATCAAAGCTAATTTTCCTTGTACCTGTTTTGTTATTTGCATTGTACCCTGGTCAAGTTCCAGCTTTCTTCTGTAAAAGTGTAAACATTTTGAGTTCCCTCCTCTCCCCCAACTTCTTTCTTAACTTAAAAGCCAATTTAAAGAATTTAGGTCAAGTTTCCAAGAAAAACCTTTATTAATAGAGGAAGCATAGGACATATTATCACAGAGTGACAACTTCTTGAACCATGGATTCATCGCTGGAGAGCAGCTGCCTCGTGTGTGAGATGCAACAGCTGTTTATGAGCTGATGATGGAGACTACTGCGATTGCAGAAGGAATTTACACAAGGAAAAAGGTGATGAATAAAATCTAAGTGACACAGGTACTTTATCACAGCATTATCTGATTACTGTACTGAAACTGGATTAACAAATCAAGGCAGATTTAATCTCACTTATTCTTGCATAGAAAGAAAAAATCTTGCAATATGATCACAAATGATCAAAGCTGTAGCTTAGTAAGCTAAAAGGCAAAGACAGATCCTCCTCCCGCTATACTGGGCCAGTGCTCAAATGGCAGCATGCCAGCTATTATGCAATCTGGTAGAGGTGATATCTTGTATTAGACCAACAAGATTTTTGCAAAAAAATTCTTTAATTGCAAGCTTCTGCACACAAACATCCTTCATGAGCAAATCACCAGTATTTCCACCAGCACTATAAGATTACCTTGAGAACTTTTCAGCCCCAGGTAGGCTGAGAGGGGAAAAAATAACTTATTAACTTCCTCATTATTAGTATAATTTGTCCATATGTTAAGTGATAAACATGATCCAGTCTTATGCTTTGGATCCTTAGGAGAGAGTTTGTGTGATCTCTGCCATAGATATGAGGGATTACTGAATGCTGGGGCAGTTTGCTTTCAGCAGGGTAAATCCTGTCCTATGCTGTTTCTGTCAGCATGTCACTTCATAATGAGTCTGCTTGATTAATAAGCGCACCATTTTAATCATAGCTGGTATTTGTCCATGTTTTTTCAGCGGCTGGTACAGAAATCGCCCTTCGTGAAGGCAGTTTGGGACCAGACACGTCTGGTAATGTCTCCGTCTCACATACTGTACATAAGAAGTATTATACACAGCTTGTGCCAACCTGATTGGGCTGCAGGAAATTTGAAATACAAACCACACATTCACCCACCCCACAGGCTCTGATGCCAGGGGCCCAGACCCAGAGGTAACATTATTTATTTTCAAGCCCTCATGTATATTCTGTTACTCGACTGTTGCCAACCTAAATTTTTTGAACCTTGAGCTGTCCAGTCCAGAATGTATCCAGTCTTTATGTATCCAGGTCCCTCGACAAGCTGGATACCTTCAAGTCAGCCGGCCCTGATGGGTTACACCCCAGGGTACTCAGGGAGCTGGTGAGCATCATAGCTCAGCCCCTGGCACGGATCTATGAGAGCTCTTGGTGCTCTAGTGAAGTGCCCGGTGACTGGAAGAGGGCCAAGGTGGTGCCTATCTTCAAGAAAGGGAAGAAAGTAGATCTGGCAAACTACAGGCCCATCAGCCTGACCTCTGTCCTGGGGAAAGTCTTGGAAAAGATTATCAAGGAGGCCATCCTTAACAGACTAGCTGAAGGCAATATCCTCAGAGATACCCAGCATGGGCTTGTTGCAGGTAGGTCTTGCTTGACCAATCTCATTTCCTTTTATGCCCAGGTGACCT